GGGGACCCCAATTATGGGTTGGGGGGGGTCCCACAAGCCCCTCCTCAATTCCTCAGGGACCCCCAATATGGGGTGGGGGTCCCACAAGCCCCTCCTCAATTCCTCTAGGACCCCAATTATGGGGTGGGGTACCCAAAGGACCCCCAATATGGGGTGGGGGTACCCATAGAACCCCCAATATGGGGTGGGGGTACCCAAAGGACCCCCAATATGGGGTGGGGGTCCCATAGAACCCCCAATATGGGGTGGGGTACCCATAGGACCCCCAATTATGGGGTGGGGGTCCCATAAAACCCCCAATATGGGGTGGGGGTCCCATAGAACCCCCAATTATGGGGTGGGGGGACCCAAAGGACCCCCAATATGGGGTGGGGTCCCATAGAACCCCCAATTATGGGGTGGGGGGACCATAGAACCCCCAATATGGGGTGGGGGACCCATAGAACCCCCAATATGGGGTGGGGGGCCCATAGGACCCCCAATATGGGGTTGGGGTACCCAAAGGACCCCCAATATGGGGTGGGGGTCCCACAAGCCCCCCCCTCTCCATTCCTCTAGGACCCCAATTATGGGGTGGGGGGACCATAGAACCCCCAATTATGGGGTGGGGGTCCCATAGAACCCCCAATATGGGGTGGGGGGGCCCATAGGACCCCCAATTATGGGGTGGGGGTCCCATAGAACCCCCAATTATGGGGTGGGGGGCCCATAGGACCCCCAATATGGGGTGGGGTGGGGGTCCCACAAGCCCCCTCCCCAAAATTCCTCCTTGCCCCCCCCTCCCCCCGCAGCTCGTGGCCCTGCTGACCCTCGTGGCGACCCCCGGTTTTTTGGGGAGCCGCGGGGCCCCCCCGGCCGCGCTGAGCCCCCTGGCCGGGGGGGGCTCGGTGTTTTTGGGGGGGGGTCTCGGCCGCCCCCCGTGCCGGCCCGTGAACGTGACGGTGGCGCTGGAGAAGGAGGAGTGTCCCCAGTGCCGGGCCGTGACGGCCACGGCCTGCGGGGGCTTCTGCCGNCCCCGTTCCCATGGAAATCAAGTAAATATTTGGGGCGGTCGCGGTCGCGTTGCTACCGGCAACGGCCAAAACTTCCCAAAACAGCCCAAAACGGCCCAAAATGCCCCAAAACGCGCCGCGGGGGGAGGGGGAAGTGGGGGGAGGGGTGGGGGCGCCGCCCTTTGTCCCCCGTGTCACCCACCCACGGGCTGGGGACACACGTGAGTGCCCCTCCCCCCACCCCGAGGATACCCCAGGGACCCCCCCAGAGCCCCCCCGGGCGTGACGTCACTCTCCGGGACCCCCTGACGTCACACTCCCCCCGGCCACGCCCCGGTGGGCACCGCCCGGAGTGACACGGCTGGGACCGGACAGGCGGAGGGACCCGAACCTGGACCCGGGGGGAGCCGAACCCCAGCGGAAACACCCGAACTGCCTGAGGGCACCCGAACCGCCCGGCGGGAGCTGAACCGGGGAGACCCGAACCTGAGCGGAAACACCCGAACTGCCTGAGGGCACACGAACCGCCCGGCCGGACCCGAACTGGGGAGACCCGAACCGTTCTGAAACACCCGAACCGGGAGAGTCCCGCGCCAAAGGACCCGAACCCTCCCGGGAGGAACCGAACGTGGACCCGAAGAGCTCCGGAGGGACCCGAATCTACCCGAGGGGACTCGGACCCGCCTGAGAGGAGCCGAACCGCTCCAGACAGACCCGTACCGGGAGCGCCCCGCGCGAAGGGACCCGAGCCCGCCCGGAGGGGACCCGAACCGGCACCGTCCCGTCCGGAAGGACCCGAACCCAGCCCAAAAAGTCCCAAACTCCTCCGGAACAACCCGAGCCCACTCGGGTGAGTGCCGGGACCCACCCTGGGGGCTTGAGGGAGAAGGGGAGGTGACACAACGTGGGGGGGATCCTGGGGTGCCCCTCTCCCGGATTTTGAGGTCTCCTGTGCCCCTCTGGGGTCCCCCCCGGATGCTGGGACCCCCCGCCCATCCCAAAATCACCCACAGGATGCAGCCAGCGCCCGCCTGGGGCGGGGCGACCCCAGGATGGAGGGGGGGAGGAAGGAGATTCTCCAAGGCCTTATATGGGCACAGCCCTGACCGCCCCCACCCCCAGCACGGCCGGGACCCCCCAGACCCCCGGGGTGAACGCCAGGATTCCGGGGATCCCCTCAAAGCAGGGAATCCCC